CACACACTTTTATTATTAATTATTATTATATATATATATATATATATTCAGGTTTTTAATTCACTTTTTATTTCTTAGTAATTGTGTTCTGCTTTTGTAATTTTTATTACTTTTTAAAGAATATTACTGTATCATAGTATACTGTATTTCAGTTTAAGTTCAGTTTTAGATTTTATTAGTTTCCAAATACTAATTAGTGTTTCAATTAGTTGCCAAGACATCATTTATAATTTGCTTTTAAAGTGTTTAAATAATGGATAAAATAACCCATTATTTTATTTGGACATATTTTAACATTTTATTTCATTTTAACATATTTAATTTTATTTCAATTAACAATTCTAAATACTTATAGTTAAGTTTCATTTAGGTTAAGTTTTTCATCTAATATTAATATTTATATTTTATTTATTGTATTTCTATGCCATTTAGCAAAATTATTTTGAATAGTATTAGTTCAATTTAATTTGTATTCATATTTAATTTATATTTATATATATTTTTTTATTTTATATTTTTTATGTTTCTCATTTTATGTAACAAATACTTCATAACAGAAGTAAACTGTATTTTTCACAAAGCAACACAGCGTTTGTGTGTGTTCAGTCTCTCAGGAGTCTTGTCTCCGTGTTTAAGGGTCTGTTCTGCGGCTCCGTCTCGTTTGATGTGAAATCAGAGAGCTTTGATTGTAAGATTAGACGTTACACACCTTTCTGAGACTTCAAACGGATGGAGGAAAGCCAACAAAAGCAGCAGCGTCTCTCTCTCCTCTCTCCACGAGTGAAAAAGCTCTCAGAAGCGTCTGGTCAGTAATCAGACTTCAGGACCTTCAGCTTCTCCACACAAACTTCAGGTCGAGGCCAGAGACAGAGATGCACACAGACAGGGTGTAAATTGGTTTTCTCCAGCTGAATGGCTCTGGCTGTAAAGCAGCAGTGCATGATGGGATACCGTCAGCGTTTCTTTGTAAAGCCTTTTAAAGTGGAACAGATCAAACTTTGCCTCTTTTACTGATTCTTTCTTTCTTTAATTCCCTGGCCTGCAGAGATGCTAACAACAGAGTCAAATACTGGTGAACATTTCTGTGCTCATTTCTGCATAAAAATAGCAACAAAAAACACTCCATCGCTGCGTTTCAGGTCACATTCGTTTATTTCAGTGAGCTGATTCGAATAGATTCACTGATTCCACAACGTGATCTCATGATAATTCGTATGTATTTTACGTAAAATGTGGTTCTATAAAACGCACATTTACTTACGTTTTTACAGGCACTAAAACGTACAATACTGACGTATTTTCATCATGTAAACGTACAAAACTGACGTATTGACGACACCTAAATATGAATCCCTATGAATATTGAAATCGCGGCCTTAATTTTATTATTATTTGTTTGTAGTTGTCATATCAATTACCTTGTTTTCAATTGCATTATTAAATTGTTTACTCGTTTACTTAATATGAAATATAACATTTCTTTCTGTTCTGTGTGATTTCTGCTGCCAGCTCGTTTCCAAGAATAGGCCTACATAATATTAAACAAGACTTCACTTTAGACCCTTAAAATAAATAACATTTCTGCAATCGTTTAACCTTTACGCACTGGTACTGCTTTTGAAATTTTTGCAATAAATTAACGATTGTAATTGCATTTAACTGTCTGTCATGTTTTTCTTATACTGTACAGAAATAGTTATGTTTAGGTTTAGAGGTAGGACTGGGATTAGCGACTATAAAAATATTATATTGTTACTAAAATGGTTATTTTCCTGCATATTTCGTTCAATTGCGTTTTATATCCTATATATGTATAGTTTTGTGTGTAAATGTCTTAATGTTTGATTGTGTTTGATTTGATTGTGGCTGGTTCATTTGTTGCACTGGAAATGAAAGATCAAGTTGAGAGTGTTGCATTGTGGGATAGGGTGTGATATGTTTTGTATGTAGATCACACAGAAATGCTGTAGATACTGCAGAAGAGCAGAAGTGAGTGTGAGAGTGCGGCGTATCAAGGCTGCTTGTGTGATTTTTGTGTTTATTTAACATGGTAACTCGTGCTGGGCTGTTGTGTGATTAAATGTTCATTCATTTAGATGAATAAAGTCAGATTTCACGGCTGATGCGTGGCTCTGTTTACTGGTGTGAAGTGTTTTCTCAGAGTTTGTTCATGTCTGTGTTTCAGAGACGCGGTGAAGCAGCAGAAGAGACTGCAGTGCTCCACAAGGGACTTGATTTCTCTCTGTGGTGTAAAAGCACAGAGACAGTGTGATAATGAAAGACGTTTTAAAGAGTGAGAAATTTTCATTTACACCGCTGAACTTTTAGTCCACTTTCATCAGATTTTCCTAGTTTACCTCTCGCTCTGGCTTTCTCTCTCCTTGTTCCCATGGTGACTATCGCTATGTAGTACTATTTTTACCAGAGTAACAATACAGCCTTCAGAATCTTAGACAGCAAACATAAAGAAACCGAGTGTGTGAGAGAGACAGAGTTCATGAGTGTGTGTGAACAATTTATTTCATTCTTTTATTTTTTTTAACATATATTTGTATTATTTGTTCGGTCACATCACATTACATATATATAAATAAATAAATATGTATTTGTATATAGTATATCAATATATACATCAAATATAGATTTGTTTGTTTGTTTTAAAGAGACAGTTCACCCAAAAAGACAATTTGCTGTTAATTTACTCATAGTCAGATCATCCAAGATGTAGGTGACTTTTTTTCTTAAGTAGAACAGATTTTTAGCTGAAACTATGGTCCTTGGTGATTCATATAATGCAAGTCAATGGCTACCGGCACTTTGAGAGTTAAAAATGCATTTCAGGCAACACAAAATTAATACCCATGACTCCTCGTGATATATTGAGTTCTATATATATATATATATATATATATATATATATATACAGAGATCATGATA